GATGTGCTGGCTTAGGCCAGAAAGAACTCTTGGAAGTTTAAAAACAAGTATCTTTTTAGCAGGATAGCATATTTAATTAAAAACTTTAAATAACTGAGCTTATCCTGTGAGCAGTTATTTTATGAGACGCAAAAGCCCCCTAAAAGGTAACTTTCATTTCGAAATGAGAAATAAGAAGTAACGTTTTAGGGGCCTTTCACGTCTCACAAAAGAAATGAGGGTTTTCAAATTCTTTTCTAGTAAACACCTAGGGGATGTGTCTTGTCTTATACTGCCAAGAGAATGAAAAACAGGCTACATGAAAAAAGGTCATGCCAGGAAACAGAAGTCCCTCTTGACTGAGCAAGGGTCTTATGACTTTAAAAACCAAGTAGGCAAAACTGCCTATTACTGGATGGCAAAAAAACAAAGACTGTAATTAGATTAAAAGTCTACTGCTTACATAAAACCAAGAGACCCATCTGCACAGAAATCAAGGGAAGGGCTATTTTCTTTCAAAGATCAACTTCAGGCCCCTTGCATAGTGGCCATCCTTACTTTTCTATACATTGTACTTCAATTTTTTAAAACTTAAGTCCGGTTAAAGCCTCTTTTCATTCAATGTTTAGATTCGTTTTAAGATGAACAACTAATGTTTAGGTCCCTTGTTATGAAGGGTTTTTCCCCAGTGCCCACTGGAAGAGGTGGCTTAGCTGTCTAGGTAGCAGCTTGAAAATACGCAGGCTCCCCGGAACCAGAGGCTGGATTCTCAGAAGGGCTGGGGAGCCTCTTAATTATACTGAGAGAAATTACCTACACAAATGTTTTCCTACAAAATCAAAAAAACCAAAAAGTCTGTGGACATTACAAATTCGTTAACTCTTCCCGTTTCATTTGGACAAATACCAGTTTGCTGTATGATCTCAGACATCCAAAAATAGGTCCTTTCCTTTATCACTTCCTTTGCACTTTCTTAACATGTGGTGTCCTAAGCTATTTACGTATTTTAACAGTCATATTTATTTGCCTAAAGATTGCATTTTCAGTTTGGCTGAGCTAGTCCAATATAAGTGTTAACCTGTAGAGAACTCTGAAGACCTCGTGGTTAGACAGGGCCCTTTTCCTTTTTTTTTTTAATTAAAGTGTAGTCAATTTACAACATTGTGTTAATTTCTGGTGTACAGTATAGTGATTCATTTATACATATATATTGCTTTTCATATTCTTTTTCATTATAGGCCAGTTTCTCTTCACAGTTTTATTCTAACATTATATTAATTCAGAGCACTTCTTCCAAGTCCTTTGTGGTTGATGATGTTCTTTTGTTCTGGGAGGAAGTTCTCTTTCACCCACTGTATTTTAGAAGTTTCAGTGCAAAAGTGGAATCAGAGATTTTCATTACAAGCTATTTGAAAGGTGTAATAACAGTCTTACAACGTAAGGAACTCAGAATCTCCGTGCACGGAAAGGTTGGCGGGCGTGCCCGGTGGACAAAGTGTCTAAGCTGTATAAACCCACCATGTGCACAGACTTGCCAGAAACGCAACCATCAGAAGTGTCTAAATAAGCTGCTCGGAGGGCTCTGCTGCCTGTTCCATAGACCGCTCGTTGTGAAACCCACGCCTTTTAAAGGGATGTCCTCAGACCCTTGGCAGCTGATAATGAAGGAAGACTCTCCAAGGGGCGGGAGGGAGCAGACGGACCTTGCGGGCCTGACTCCTGTCCCCTGGGAGTCACTTTCTATCCCAGCCTAAGGGCATCAGAGCTGGCCCTGTTGAGGAAACCACGGGCCTTCCCGGGGAGTCTGGGGAGATCCCAAGGGAAAGAGTGAATCTGGAGACGGAAACAAAGCCATGAAGTGCAGCTTCTCCACTTGGATGGAATTGGAGTTGCCTTTTTTTTTTTTTTTCCAAAAAAGGGTTAAGAACAGGTTTCCTCACAGCATTATATAGGGGATTTAGAGAACTAGAAGTCCTAGGTTGTTTCAGCTTTAGGAAGTGACCTCGGGGAAGTTATTTAAATTCCCTCTGCCTTAGTTTCCCTGTGAGCAAATGAAAATAAATAAGGCCTGGGTCCTTCCAATCGCAAAGGGGCAGACGCTAAAAACAGAAAGGATTTGAGCTTCTACACAGGAAATGCGAGTGCAAAATCTTACTCACTTATGAAGGCGCAGGGGAACAGACTGCTTGAGCACACGAAAGGTTAATGTGCACAGTTGATGTTATCCGGTTCTTCTTCTAAAACTACAGTGGTCAACAGTGTTTTGAATGACGAGAACCCTAAGGGCCAACTGGTTTCTCGGTACCTGCGCCAGCAGATTCCCCAGGGAAGAGAGCTGGAGTTTGCTTGGTGTCCCCAGCAGAGTTCCAGACCGCAGTTTGTTTCTTCCCGTTTTATGAATGGCAGTAGTATTATGCTTCCGTCTGCATTTTCTACCAAAGCCATTCATAAAAATAAAAACAAAACAAAATATCAACAACAACAAAAGTGTTCTCCGCACAGTCTGGAGCCACTGGGTGCCAGAGGCTGGGAAAACGTCCAGGCAGCCCTAACCCCAGCCGGCCTTGAAAGGACTCGAGGGTCTGTTTGTCTGGTGGCCTGGGAAGTATGAAGTGCCGTGTGGAAGGGCAGCTGCAGGAGTTCTGTGACACGGACGAGGCCGGGAGCCAGGGCTGGCAGGGTTTCAGACATTGTCTTTCCCCTCATTGAAGTGTCAGGACCTAATTCATGGAAAATTGGGTGAGCTGGCAGCCCTTTCAGAGGATTTCATTGAGCCTCACAGTGGGCAGGAGTCACATGGATTGCGGGCTTCTCGGCCAGAATGGGAGGGGACTTTCTGAGCAGCAGGAACCAGTCAGCCTGCGAGAGAGTGTGGGGATTTGAAACGGTGCGGGAGTCAACGTGTGTACAGGTGTAATCGGCAGGGGGAAGAGACAGAGAAGAGTGGTCTCTTCTGACCAGTGACTCTTCTGAGATGAATACTCTCTTAGCACACACTTTGGAGTCTGAAGAGACAAGAAGTCCTAATCATTCCTGGCTGGATCCCACCTGGAGAAACATCATCTCCAAACCTGGCCTTTTAGGACATCATCTCCACTGGGATTTAAACTCAAAGGGAAGAACTTTTTTTTTCAGTAAACAAATGTATTTTGCCATTTCTCTTATTTTTATCCTGTTTATCTAAAAAAAAAAAAAGCTCTGTTGATTTTTATAAAACATGTGTATCACAGCAGCAATAAGACATCACACCATCACCGTCATTCTGAGAGGAAGGGAAATGAACAGGAGCTATGCCCCTTCACAGTGCAGGGCATCTACCCTCACCTCTGTGATCCGGGAGAACTGCAGCACTTTTCTTTCACTTGTACGGCACTGGAGCGGTTCAGTTGTATTCACAATCTCAGCGATGTGTAGACAGAATAAATAAGGCTGATATTCAGACATGAGACATGAGAGAGAGTACTGGAAGTAATCCATTAAGAACCTGGGGCTTCAGATCCACCTTTTATGACACCAAAGAATAATTTAAATAGTTTTCTAAGACTTTGAATATTGGAAAATCAGGTTAAGCTGGGTCGACAAAAAGTTTCCTCAGATGTTTCACTCCGAAGAGGGGAGTTTTGCTCCACGTACAGAATTAGATAGAGATGACACAGAGAAAACAAAATAGTCTGCAAATGGTACCATCAAGAAAGTAAACAAACCCACAGAATGGGAAAAAATATTACAAATCAGATTCTGACAAGGGACTTCTATCTAGAACACATAAAAGAACTCTTATAACTCAGTAATGAAAAGACAAATTTTGAAATTGGCAAAAGATTTGAATAGACATTTCTCTAAAGAAGATATACGAATGGCCAGGAAGTACATGAAAAGATGCTCAACACCCTTGGCCATTCAGGATATTCAAACTACAGTGACATTCACCTTCACACCCAGTAGGACGCCAATCATTAAAAAGACAGACAAAAATAAGTACTGTCATGTATGGGGAGAAATTGGAACCTTCGAACGTTGCTGGTGGCAGTGTAAAATGGTGAGGCTGCTTTGGAAAACTGTCTGGCAGCTCCTCAAGAAGTTTAACATAGAGTTATACCTCTATGACCCAGAAATTCCACTCCCAGCTGTATAACTAAGAGAAATGAAAACATGTACACACTGAAACTTATATATGAATGTTCATAGCAGCATTATTCATGATAGCCAAAAGTTGGAAATAATCCAAATGGCCATGAACTAATGGATGATGGATAAGCAAAACATAGATAGCATATCCATACAATGACATACATACAATGGCAATAAAAAGGTATGAACCACCGATGCACCCTATAACATGGATGATTCTAGAAAACATTGTGTTAAGTGAAAAAAGTCAGATACAAAAGGCTATATATTGTATGATTCCATTTACGTGAAATGTCCAGAAGAGGCAAATTTGTAGAGACAAAGTAGATTAGTGATGGGTTAGGGACAGGAGGTTGGCTGGGGAGGCAGGAGGGAACGGGGAGTGGGTGATGATGGGTACAGGGTTTCTTTTGCAAGAAGTGGAAACGTTCTAAAATTAGATTGTGGTGATGTTTTTACTACTCTTTGAAGATACTAAAAAACTTTGATGTATATGCTTCATACAGGTGAATTTTATGGCATACATCTTAATAAAGATGGGTTTTTAAAAACTAAATATTAACTCATTAGGCCCTTTCACTTCTTAAGATTTGTGACATGCAAGCTAAAAACAAAGTGAATAGAATAGCAAGTTTATTTTGATGTAACTGGTATGTATCACAGACCTTAATTTGGAATTGTTTTAATTAACATAACGTGTACTGTTTTTCCGAAACATGCAGGATCATGAATACACACCCTTTAACCTTCGATAAACCATTTGAACCTTGAAATTTTCGTCTTTACTTTGCAGACAAGTGTCTACATTTAACACATGTATACTTAATTATTTTCACTGTGTGTGTTTCCTTTTAAAATATAACGGTTCTTTTTCTTTCTTTCTTTCTTAGCCACAACAAGTCGTTCAGAAGAAGCCTGCTCAGGTAAGAGGTGGTCATTACAATGTTTTTCTCCTAATTAATATAAAAGGTAATGTGAAAAAATACACATAACCCCAAATTAAACCTTTAATTCGTATTTTTCTAGTTTTGATGATGTCAGCATTGGTGTTCTTGAAAATTGATTGTGTCCTTCAGGCACAGTCAAAAATACATAGTCTGAGAGCGAGTCTTTAAAAACCCTAAAAGATCAAGGCCTGAAGTGTACAGAGCAAATTCAGAAATACTTTAAAAAAACAAATCCTTTTAGTGCCTCATATAAAACATCTTATCATGTGTCTTGCCCACTCTTAAACATCACATTTTGTCCTTTCCGCCTAACTCTCCATATTCCGTTGACTTGATACAGGACTTATTAGCTGCAAAATATATCATGATTCATGACTGGAAACACATCTGTGTGTTGACTTATTCCATAATATTTGATGATCCCAAAATACCCTCAAAAAAGGCTGGGAAATTGGCAGATTAAGTTATACTAACTTTGTTGTTGTTGAACCCTCGGGTCTCACGTCAGTGGCTGAGTCACAGCAGCTCAAGTCTTTGGCAGCATCAAAATTAGGAAACAGTTTTATTTCTCTTGTTCCTGATGCCTGGAGTTCCTTGTCCCAACTATAATCTATACAGAAAAGCCTAAGAATCATCCTTATTGAGGATGTGTATCTCAAAGAAAAAAAAAACCTTAAGATTAAATTAACCACGATTGCCAAATACATGAGCTTCATTGGAGTATAAACATGTCTTGCTGGTCTCCCTTCCTGGGTTGAAAGAGATGCCCGGGAGATCTAAGTGTATTCTGCAGAACCTGCTGGAGTAAGTTATTTCGCAGTGCCATGGGTTACCAAGTTCTTTGTAGACTTTCATAAAATTTAAATTTCCCATGGGATCTTCTTTTCACCAGAGGTCTCTAAAACTGTACCCTGCACCCTGCTATTTTGGGACAGTGTTGCCTTGCCTGGGAAAGACCTTCCAGACAATCTTATGTGTCTACTGTTCTTTACAAATGCTGCTCCTAACAGTATTGAAGCTTCTAAACAGATGTAAGCATACAGGGGAAGTATATCTCAATAATTACACATGTGCTGTAAGTAGAATTAAAACAGTTTCCACAAAAAAAAAATCATAATCAGAGCTGTTCCTTTTCCTAAAAGTTAAGAGTGGTGCGGAGCACACAAAAATAAGTACACAGTGTTTGAGTGTTTCTAAGTAATATTAACAAAACAAAATATACACAAAAACTTGACATTTTTAAGTAGGAGATCCCAAATATATTTAGCTTCTTGTCCTCCATCAGTAAGAAAATCAAAAGAAAATGAATTTATAATTCTGTGCATTTGGGTCAAAGGATACTGCAGTGTTCACTGTTGCATCATGGGCTGTGCACAATAGATTAATAACTATATGTGGCCTGTTAACAATTTTGATTCAGTCTGTGTTCTTGGTGTTGTAGGGAAGATAAGGTGAATAAAAACTCAGTCACTGCATCTGAGAAATGTGTAATCTAGTTCAGAGGTTCTTAACCTTGGCCGCATATTAGAATCCCCTAGAGATTATAATTATATACATCTCTCACCATGTATATGCCATATACATTTGACCTTTGAACAACATGGGTTTGAACTGCAATGGTCAACTTACACTCAGATTTTTTTTTTCAATAAATACTGCAATTCTACATGATCCACAGCCCTTGTGAGCCAATTGTGAGCATCTCTTTCAAATTCTATGTTTTGTGATGTCAAGTAGGTAACCTGAGATCTACTATGGTGGGAGGACTTACACCATGAAAATTGACCAATACACAGATCAGGACTTTTTTTTACTGGGGAGCAAATTGTTGAACACTCACCTGCACACCACTAGCCCCACCCTTCAGTGATTCCGATTATTTGGTCTGGAAACCCAAGCATTAGTATATTTATGAACTCCCCAAGTGATTCCAGTGTAGAGACAGGGATGAAGATACTTGGTGAACACATATGAGAAGACATTCGAACATTTGTTGAGCAAATGACCATAGAATGTCGAGCCACATGAGGCACACAGGGAATGACAGATGGATGGCTGGAATGCTATGTGTTACTTAAGGGGATGGACCTGGTGAGAGTTTTAATTTTGTTGTTATTGTTGTTTAGCTGCAGAAGGGAAGATGAAGACATAAATTAGGGAAAGAAAGGAAGATATTATAGATGAGGTGAATGGCATATTCAAAAGTAAAGAGGCAGAAACAGATAAATCATAGGTGGGTATTATCAATGTGGCTAAAACTGACTACAAATTGGGCAGTAATACCAAGAAATGATGTAAATGACATCGTATGGGTTTTTTTCCCCAAGAGAATCAGGAATATCAAAGAAACCACAGATGGACTTGGTTGGTTCTCACTGATCAGTCTGGCTGTCTTACAGCCCCTGCTCCAGATTTGCCCTTGAAAGGAGAGCTCAGATTCAGAAAAGAGAACATGAGCTCATTGGGCTTCCTCATCTATATTGTCTGAGGATACAGTGATGAATTATATAAACATGGGGACTACACGGAAGTTCATGGAGGATAATGTAAATTTTACACTGCATTCAAAAGAATCTCTTCCTTTTCCATCTGTTTCTTTCAAAATACCCTCCCAGATGGCTTTTCCATGTGGCAGTCTGGATTAACTCAGACTCGTATCCTTTCTTCATCAACACTACTTTGAGGGGTTACATTCAGATCCTGTTGTGAGGTGGTGAAAAGTTGAGCACAATTAAATATTCTACATCTAGAGAAAAAGGCTCAGCCGTGTGTAAGGAGACCCAAGTTTTGCTTTCTGGCCCCATCCGTGGGTGAATGCACCTTCATCTCTCTGCTCCCTATGCATCCATCTATGAACTGGGATGATAGCAGTGCATCTTCCCTTATTCCCAAGAACATTTTGAGAAACGTGTAATTGTATAAATCCCAGGGAGTATTATTACATTCTGACTTTTTGGATGCTGGGTTTTTTATTTCCTGAGATACACATTCTCAAAAATTTTAGAATTTTAATTAGTTCAAAACTTATCTTTTTGACCTCAAGTGTTTTCACTGCATCTTTTAAAAATAAGGGTTGTTCTGAACTAAGGGGAAATTTTATGTCATTAGGACTAAAGCGGTCAGAATCACCTGGCTTTTTATGTATGTCACATGTAGATGGAATTAGAAAGACTCTATTATAAAGTATCCTAATGCCATCAAATTCCGAAACCTCCTCAGAGCTTCAAGAATTCCACCTCTTGAAACTGGGTGACAGAGCGGCACAATTCCTTCGAAGGAGACATTCAGAATTATGATAAATCTCAGAAGTTAGATGTGCGCTTGTGTTTGTGTGTAGAAGTACATGTGTCTAGAGAGGAATAAAAATTTAAGGGAAATCCTACTGCAGGGGTTTGTGTTTGGAAAGTCCACCAGGTGCCATTAGCTGCAAACCTCGAGTGTGTCTCATAATCCTAGTGGGAAAAGTTCGTAGTGTTTTAAAAATCTAAAGGGGAAAATCTGCAATATTCACATTAATTTTTCTTTAATTCCAAAACCAGTGAAAACAAAGCTTGCTAGAGAACGCTATTTTCATTTAGAGTGGTAAAATAAGAGATTAGCTATTTCCGAGTTTTTTAGCAAGTTGAAGCAGTTGGCTTCTCAGCCACGTGGATTATGGTGTCAGCTTTAGTAGGAAGGTGGCAGGTTTGGTTCATGCTGTTGTTGTTTTTATAAAAGAAACACCATAACATACCAGATGATTATTATTGATCCGGGAGGCTTTGTTTCTCAGGATTTTATTTTGATAAGAATAAATCTCACTCCATCTCCAACTTCTAGAAAGGTTTTGCCGGTTTGTTAGATTATCTTATTGTTTCTTGACTCGCCCCTTCCAAGGCTTTCAGCTGAGATTAGAAGTTAGTCCTTACATATAATGCAGACTTTTTTTTCTCACCTGAGCCCTACCGAAAGAAAGGGTAAAAATGGGTTTTGAAAATCCTAAATTCTCCTTCCTTTCAACCCAGTTTCCCCATTGCTGTACAGCCATGGCGAGCCATACCTCTAGCAATTAAGACAGGTAGAAACCTGCTCCTCTTCAACTTCCCAGTGAGAGAACTGGAAAGTTTTCAGTTTCTAAAAGACTGGAAACAAAGCTTTCTGTTTCAAAATAGAGCTTTTACCTGTGAGTAACATCATCTGTGGGTGGTGTGTATCAGGGCAAAAAACCTCAGTAAGCCTTGGTTATCATGGGATTTCCCCCCCTTTAGAAAAAAAAAAGAAAAAGAAAAGAGAAGTTGAATGTTTTTACAGAGACTTCAAGGGCAGTTTTAAGGATGTTTACATTTCAGACAACCTAAACATTGTTTGGAGCAAAATGAGAGATTTCATTTGGGGACAAGCAGGTTGATGAATTGCAGTCAGCGTCTTGTTCTCAAAGAAGGCATTTTTACTGGGGGCTTTTAGTCTGGACATACAAAGGAGGAAGGTGGAAGGAGGAAGAAGGGAGAGTTCTCACTCTAACACTCATCTTTTACGTGGTGTCTTGGCCAGTGCAGTAGCCAGTTCCTCATAAATCACACTTGCAAAAAAGAGTCACTCTACTCACTCAAGGGAGCGCAGTGATTTATACCGCTTCAGTCATAAAGAATACTGATTTATTTGTTTCCCAACGTAGGCTCGTTCAAGCTGGTAAAACGTTTTGTGGGCCAGTAAATGTTTGGTACCAACTGGCAAAGCATGAAGAATTATATCGTAGCCCGCCCAGAGTGGGACTGTTTTGTTGCTTAGGAAATACTTTTTGATTTAACCCCTGACCTCTGACATTGCAAAGGTCAAGGGAAAAGGGGAGAGCCAGGCAGAAAGCCGCATTTACCCCTTAGAATAAGTAGCTCCAGGGCAGCACAGGGGTAGGGCAAAGAATCATATCAAAATGATGATTAGCTGTAAACATATGACGTCATTAGCTTAGCTGTAATAAAGAATATTGGCAGGACGAA